TACTTGGCCTTAGCTCTCAGCATAAGGTACACAGCTAGGGTCAAGGATAATTATGCTGCATAACTGCAGACCAAAAACAATTTTCAGGCAAAATAAAATACTGTCCAAACCCTTATCACTAAAAATGAAATCTAATACTGTACTTCGTATTACATATTACAATCATTATCTTCATGATTAATGAGAAATTGCCGCAAACAAATACATTATGAGTTATTATGACTGATTATGGCAAGATATTAATCCACATTTGCCACTATCCACCTAGGTGTGCATTGGTACCCAATAGGCCCGAGTGCTACATATTTGGCTGCCAGCTATGACTGGGGGTAAAAAATGTTGGAGTGCCAGGACGTCACAACGTGACGAACACAATGTGCTATTCAAGAAGCCACCTTTATTATTGTTTTATTATTGACAGGCCATATTTAATGACTCAATCTTGGAAGTTCCATACGATATATATAATGCAAGATCCAACACTTTACCTCCAACAGCATTTCTAGAAGGTGGAGAGGCAATTTGAGATGGTAAAGGAACCAAGGACTTTTAAGAGAAGGCTAAGCTCCGATAAAGGTGAAACAGAAAACTTTTTGAAGTTTTCTCATTTCTTTAACATTTCACCGTGGAAAAAAATATCCTGATAGAAATGACACATGAAAAAGTTAGGCCTCAAAATGCCCTCATATTCCAAATATAACTGAAAAGTATAGACCAAAGTTGATGTCATATATATTGTATGTGTAGGCCTGCACATGTATATCCATATCTACATGTATGTGCAATGCTTTTACCAGCATTCAATTTTCTATCAAGTTATTTGATCTTTTTAAAATCATTTTGATGATTACAAGACCTCACAAAACCTCACATTTTTCTTGTTTAATACATAATCAATCTTCACAGTTAACTTTAAGATACCAGTACCTTCTTTAGAATTGCCATTGTATGACAGATACTTGACTTTCCTTATTAAAGATGACATTGACTTGCTAGCTATACCAGTCCAAGAAGAGGAGAGAGAATGAACATACAACTAAGAAGAAAAGAATCCACAGCCTCATTCCAGCATTGTTCTTGATTGCCTGAAATACACAAATAAAACAAAATAGAAAGAAATAAGATTAAGGTTACTACAGTATTCTATCAAATCAAGCATTTTTTATTCATGATAGTTATTATTTGGCCTCTGCAATTATCCTGATTCTTTGATTAACCTCCACACTTTCAAGTTTTCAATTATATCAATGTATTTTTTTGTATTTAAAATATATTACCGGTATTGGTATTGTTGTTTGATTAATTTCTATTTGCTTTAGAAATAAATTTTATGTGAAAATTTGATGATAACTTGCAAGTTAAACTGAGATGATTAAGATTCCATTTAAATATCACATAGCATACACATACCAAATTACTTACATAATGTTGACAACAGAAACACAGAAATTTTGTCCACCCATTTCCCTACATGGTTAAGTCATTATCTGAAATTCCCATCACCCAAAGACTCTCTGAAAGACTAGGGGTATTTCTTGATTGGACTAAGAGATTGCTGTGTGCAGACTTGTACATCCATGAATGGTATTTCCACCAAGTCTGATGTCAGCTAATTAATGACTATCTGCACATGGAAACTGGCTAACGACACTCTTCCTTTAAAGCCCCACTGCACTACTTATAGCTACATGTACTTGCGCCCTCTATATAGCAAACGATGCCTAATCTATGACCGTTGGTCCCCTTTCTCTTATGCTAATTGAGAGCTTATTTGATGGGATAACCACCTGTCAGTGACCCTGCAGGGAGGTCTAATCTCTCCTGGCCAAACTAGAGCGGATAGGCTTTAACTCACCTCTCTGATATCTTGATTGGCTGCTGTGATGTTCTCTGTTGTGTGCACCACCGTGTCACCTATCCTGTCTATGTCTGCACTCTGCAGGAGAAGAGAGAGAGAAAAAAAGAAGGAATTATTGAAAGTGGTGGTAAAACTGATGATGAAGATGATTTTTTTATCTGACTGCAAACAAAGCATGTATATGCTTTAAGTAAATAACCAGGAGACCGAAGGCTTCAAGTTCTCTCCAAGGGACTTGGTAATTAGGATTAATGGCTTACCAATGGGCACAATTGAGCGCAATGACTTGGTTTTGAACTGGGGACCTCCCGATTACATGACTACTGCTTTACCACTGAGCCATCACACTCTCCTCAAATTGGCGGTCAAGCTACTGAAAAACAAGATTGGTCTTACATGTATATCCAGTCCAGTCCAGTCCCTCAAGAGAGAGAAATGTGTGTTGTAGAACCTGTCTAGAAAGACCACTTTTACTGTTTCCCTTGGTGGGCCTTAAATAGACACATATGACTGCAGTTGGTGGGGTTTTCCGGAATTCCAAAAATCATTTTTTTATAATTTGGTTTAAAATTTGTATAATGTGAAAAAAAGGCCTGAGGTAAAAAGGTCAGATAAGACCTAAAAATCTAAGAAGAAATATGCCAGTGCTCGAAATGTCACAGATAAAAAGCTGGGGTTTAAATATCAGGGGTAATGGTGAGAGGTAAATATCAACATATAGGCCTACTGATGCACCTGGCCAGCTATAACCTTATACACTAAAGAGATGCCAATGACATTAGCTGACGCATATCTGTAAGTTACCCTCCCTTCTAAAAAAAAAACCAACAACAAAAAAAAGTTGATCTGTATTATAAAACAATATTTCTTTTTACAATATTATCATCCCCATGGCTGTACCACTGTTTCATGACTCATCATGTGATGTTTTGTTAAACAAATTTGGTATAAATATCCCCTTGTGTGATGTCTGATCAGCCAGGGTGTCTCTATGACCAAATATCAAATTATTGATAGAGACATCAAGAATGTCCTAGGAGCTACATGTGTACGGAAATAAATCTAGGACGGACTTTGTGATTATAACACCACCTCACACTGTGAAATGATTTATTTCACCAATTACCAGAGGTAATTTACTTTCTGCATGCAGCCACACTCAGGCCTGACGGTGACAAACAAAAAAAGAGGGTTATTAAAGAACGACTTTGGTATGAAATATGATGGACAGGCCTGGCGTTGGGTCAGAATGGTCCTCCTATTACCGTTTAATAAGTCAGTGATGCAACAGGTGGGATATTGAACACAAGATTGGTGACAAAATGATTTTGTGAGCTGGGATTTGCGAGCCAGCGCCCAGCTTGACACCTCGGCGTGACACCCACTGCCGTCCCGGCCGGTAATGAGCTCTGTCGCCTCGGGCCCGCCGGGAACCACCGACGGTACCGAGTAATTTTCATGTTGCGTGGTGGATAGAACCTCAGAGAATTAAATAGCATTAAATGGGACGAGGACGTTATCGAGGTGTCTTGCAATTTATCAGTTAACTTTGACTTTATCTCAAGAACATATGCAATAACTTTTCTTTTCAAAGTAAGTTCTGAAAGCACCAACAATCTCCACTCTGAACAAACCCATACCCAAGAAGTTTTAAAGCCTGTCTGCACTAGTTTGATCAGGGGTGATTAGACCTCCCTAGAAGGTCACTGACAGGTGGTTATCTCATCAAATCAGCTCTCGATTAACATGAGAAAAAGAGGATCATGGGGGAACAACAGGCACTGATTAGGAATTGCTTGCTATATAGAGGGAGCAAGTACAATGTAGCTACAAGTACTGCAGTGGGGCTTTAATATCTAAGCATCCATATGAAGCTCACCCGATTAGTAAATTGCATTCCAACTTGCGACCGAGAGGAGGTCTGCATTTAGTCACATGTTTACGAACCGTAGCATCTGACCTCATTTGATTTGGCTCAGCTTCCACAAGTAAGTGTAATAACAAGTTACAATAAATTAGATAACTGTCTCCATTAAGATAATTCACGTGCAATCAATCTAATGCATTGCAGGTCACAGGTACATGTAGTTTTAATAAAATGGAGTATATCTCTGGTACAGCCATTAACTAATTAAGTGACACAATGGTGTAGATACGGGGAGGGGGGGGGGGGGGTCAGGTATTTGCCCATTGCCCCGATAAAATAGTGAGAGAAGGGGGGGGGGGGCAAGAAGAGAAAGAAAGGGTGAAAAAGAGATAACAAGACCCCCTCCAAGACCCTCTCCTAATCTATTACCATGTTAATTAGAATTTCTGCCTTGTATGACTAGTGAATAGACTATACTAAAACCAGAGTCACTAGTGGAGTTATATGACATTCATAAGAAAAATAAAACTTCTATCAATATTCCAGAGAAAAAATTAATATTTATTTTTCGGGGGCTACTTTTCAAGCTTGCCTGCATAAAAATGACACTCTATAATTTGTTTTGCATTGAACTCTATTCAAATTTATGGGGGCTCTTTTCTGATTTTCGGGGGCTCTTTTGGGCATTTCGGGGGCAAATTTGCCCTGAGCCCCCGTGTATTTTTTTCACTGCAATATTCATGAGCAAAATAAATGTATCTGACTATGTAATATCATTATTGCAAATGTTTGAGAGAATTTTGATCAAGTTTTGAACAGTGGGTGAAGGAAACTCCTTGCAGCCATTATGAAAGTTGGATTTGAAAGTTGTTATCTATTTTGGCAAATTGATCTACAGTTTTGAACACTGGCACCTTAGATCTTTGCATCAATCAACAGAAATTGAGATGACACAAAGAACTGTTAGTTGACAGAATGATCTGTCAACCCTCAAAAGATATGTTGCCCCCCCCCCCCCACACATCAAAGTAATTATCTTTCCATCAAAAAGAAACACAAAACTATACTCAATTTCTAGCCCCATTTCACAAGCACAGAGATTGTATATTACAAGTGATAAAGGAAGTTTAATTTATGATATTCTTGACCACTTTTTCTGGCAGTAAATTATGAGAAATGGAGTTAAGGCCTACTTTTCATTGCTTAGTTCAGCTAAGGGACAGGTAAATAATCTGCTCATCAACAAATTAAAATGAAATTAATCCAGTGTCCTGTTGAACCCCATTAGTTAGAAGAATCTTCAAAAGGATTTTGTTTTCTACCAGTACCCCCCCCCCCCTCAGTTTGGTAAACTTGGTAATATGTTCGTTTAAAAACAGTAAAAAAAATAAAATGCAAATATATGTAACATAAAATATTGCACTAGATTTGTTGTCAGTAATATTTTTGCTGAGGTCTTAAAAACAGTAAAAAAAATAAAATGCAAATACTTGAAACAGAAAATATTGCACTAGATTTGTTGTCAATATATATTTTTGCTGACGTCTTAAAAACAGTAAAAAAATAAAATGCAAATGCTTGTAACAGAAAATATTGCACTAGATTTGTTGTCAATAAATATTTTTGCTGACGTCTTAAAAATAGTAAAAATATAAAAGGCAAATACTTGTAACAGAAAATATTGCACTAGATTCGTTTTTTGCTGACGTATTAAAATGTTTCAAATTTTACCTCTCATTGAAGGTTCACCATCAAGACATTTTTTTCAAGAAATATTTGCATCAGTAAAAATAATGCTTGAAATCTAAGAATTTCAGGTGGTATCATTAAAGAAAAACACTAAAGGACAAGAGGAAAAAGGAAAGCAATAAAGGGTGAAAAATGCAGGGGAAAAACAAGGATTGATAGGACTAATTCCGTAATGATATCTGTAATGCTTTTGTTTAGTTTTAGTTGGAAATGAAATAAATACGAATTGAAAAAATTGAATAGTTTTTCAATAAAGTGAACTTATCAAATTCACTTTATTCAGATAAAATTAATATATAAAAGGACTTTGAATGCAAACAAAAGATCTGTAGAATCATGCATTCAATTTGCTTGCTTTGTATTGCAAAAAAACAAAGTGAAATAAATTTCCCTAAAAAGGTCACTTAGCAGGTGAATTTAGAGTTATTGGTACGCAACAAATCCACAAATAAAATGCTTCATCATGCTCCAGAATCAACAAAGAAGCCACACAAAAATTACCTTTTATCATATCAAATAATCAAACTAGGTGAAAAGCATCGCAACGCAATTTGACAAAGATATAAAAAGAAGGAAGAAAGAAAAAGCCTCTTAGAAGATCTAAATTGGGAATTACATGAGTGACAGAGTAGTCAGTTGATTCCTACAAGTCAAAGAATTTGATCCTAAACTTAGCGGGGGGACAAAGACAATATGACATCCAAAGGAGCACTTGATGATTGCCCCCTCACAACACCTTGTTTTGCCCCCTCCTTGTCAGTTTACTCCCTGGCCACGCTGACCACAACGACGTCACTCGTTGCGTCTGCCCGTCCCGATCGCTATTGCGGTTCCGCGCTCCAGACCTGCCCAGATAATTGGGTGTTTGTCGCAGCGAATTGACAATTAACGTCTGACGTGCATTGCCCGTTGAGACTGATTTGTTCATATCCCTTTCAGGAGTTGATTTCGAGAGAGTCTATATAGCCCCTCCGTAAAAACAAAGGCGACGTAGTAAACCGCTCGACAATGAAAGGCCCCGATCACGCTCTCTCTCTCTCACCATCAGTGATGACGCAAAGTCTTTAATGAGTTCCAAATCTCATAATTAGGGAAACTTAGGTGCTCTTTATTTGTGACATAAAATTACCACTTTGAAAAATATTTTGAGAAGAAAGAGACCCATAACAGCTGTTTGAAATCATCTTTACAGCAAGTCAAATTAAACTCTTAATTTAAAACTGATTCCTAGATTGATCTCTAATTCACATCTGGCGTTAGAATGACATCAGATTGCCAATTTGAAGATGTTTACTACAAAGATAATGGAATTTGATTATTATTCCAACAAGAGAACAAACAAATTTTTACTTGCTTTGCAAAAATTTGTTCAGATAATCATGGCTAAATTGAAAGTGATGAGTAATCTCTGAAGATAGATACCTCATCACAGTGACATCAGAAAACCAATTTGAAGAAGGTA